GTGAGCTACTGGCGCGATCTGGTGTTCATTTTACCGCAACACAACTCGGAATACTGATACGATGCCACATTGTGCGGCTTTTGGTTGTCATTTAACTTTTTGAGTGAAAAAAGGTGAATGCCGAATCATGCTAATTTTAAAGAAACACATTCCAGCATTTAAGGAAAAATTTCTAGGCCTACTTAAATACATGCTAAACCGATGTTCTCTTGGTGAAGCCGTGTTTTCAAAGCATCGCAGGTGTTTATAGTCTTCAGAGAAGTCAGCTTAGTTTTAGTTGTTTGTCTCTTTACATTAAACTGGGATAGAAGGCAGTATTTTAACATTAGAACAACTAAGTTTACCTTCAAGTAGTAGCCTAGAATAAAAAGACTGGTCAGAAAAAAAGGTTAAAGTCTGTCTGCATTTTATCCACGTCTCATCATAGCATAGCAAAGGATTGGTGAGAGGTTGCACATCCTCATGAGGATGGTGGAAATGTACCACATAAAAACATAGTACTTTTTAAGCTATTGAACTGATTGTAAAGGCATGCCAAAGGGTCCATGAATAAGGTCAAAATAGCATCAATCAAAATTTAGAAAGCAAATTAATTTACAGAAAAAAAGCAGCTTGCACATACAGCTGTACATATTTCTGTAGGCTTCACTCTCTCTCTCTCTCTCTATATATATATATAATATACACATTTGACTTTCACATGAACTAAAACAGAAAAAAAGTCAGTAATAGTGATCCATAATTAACAAGGTTGATTTTTCTTTGTCTAGTCACTCGCCGCCAGGTTTTTCTAGACAGAAGTACTTGCCATTTAACCTGTAACTACATTAACATACACCTGTCATTCAAAACCTGTATTGCCCCTCCATCATCTGAAGTGTATAGTCTCGGTGTGTGTGTGAGCGTCTATAATATGGTAAAGTAATGTATCTGTCTGGTTAAGTATCATATGCATCTACATGCTGGTTTGCGGGTTATGTGTGTGTGTGTTCGTATGTGTGTTGTGTGTGATTTGTTAGATTTGAAGGCTCAGCAGCTTCTCCTTTTGTCTTCTTGCATGAACTACAGACAATCTGTCACAGAGAGAGAGATTAATATCTGGAGAAACGGGGGAGGGTGAGAGGAAAAGAGTTGACCGAGGAAGACAACACAGACAGACAGAAAGAGATATAGATAGATAGAGAGACAGACAGACAGACAGACAGACAGACAGACAGACAGACAGACAGACAGACAGACAGACAGACAGACAGACAGACAGACAGACAGACAGACAGACAGACAGACAGACAGACAGACAGACAGACAGA